TGATTAACTTTTTGTTTTAATGTAATTTTATCTCTATTTTAGTTTTAGTTTTTAGAGCAAAACTTTATCTTTTAACATAATTATTTTTTACATGAGTCATTTTTTATTTTATTTTGGACAAGATTTTTCCTTATTAACGCATATTTTAATTCCCACAGCTCTATAGAATACCTTTAAAAGAAATAAAAGAGATGCTCATTACTTTACACACTAAACCTTAAACATTACATTACAAAAAATTTTTAAGGGAATTATCTACAAAATCATATTTTGGCGAATACAAAATTAAATACATTTTTGTAATGCTAAACTTCTGACAGAATAGCTTATCAATGGCCAACATCTGAAGACACTTCAAGTATCATCTCACGAAAATACAAAGTCGTTAAGTCTTTCTTCCGGTGTAAGATCAAGATTTACTACTTACCTGTGGGGTGGGGAGAGGGGGCTGTATGCGTGGACGAATTTCAAGATACCTAAATATTTCAGTTTCGGCTTCGGTCTCGGCCAAAACCTAAAAGTGAAATTTCGGTTTAATTTCGGCTTCGGCCGAAACTGAAATGTTAACTTTCGGTTTAATTTAGGTTTCGGTCGAAAGTCATGTTTAAATTTAGGCTTAGTTTCGGTTTCTGCCGAGATCAGAAAATCACTTTCGGTCGGTCTCTACCCTCGAACTCCTAAAATCGTACAATATCGTCTCAAACTACAACACGGTATCTTAATAGTAAATAAATAAGCATACAGTATATATAATGAATACGATAACTACTCGCATTGCAATGCCAAGAGGAATGGGGTCCAAAAAACAAACAACTTCTAAAGTAAATGACTGACGTTTATATTGCAATCTGCAGTAAATTTTATTTGCAGACGTATATTATCTATAGATATTAATTTAAATTGAGTGAACGTACAGATCACATTATCGCAGTCCATCGCTATTAAAAATAAATTTACTGGTGACATTCATGGTGGTTAAAACTCTTAGTCAGATCAGCATAAAACAAAATATCTTTAAATAAAAATTAATTACCACATGATGACATCTTTTTAAACACCTACCAAGTAACTTGAGATTTATTTTTTTAGGAAAAGCTGGTTAAAACGTTAAAAAATAATAATAAAGTAAGAATCAATATGCATTATGCCTATTCCCGCTTTTGTAATGAAGTCTCATAACTACCACAAACTGTAAATAGGGGAAAGGAAGAGGAGTGTAGGAAAAATACGGGGGCATTAAAACTTGTAATCACCGCTTTTGGAATAATCAGCCTCTCGGCAAGTTGAGTTGTGCGGAGATCAGAAGAAATTAGAGAACACATAGTGTTACAGCCACGTGAGAAGGCTAGGAACTTGCTATGGTATTATTTGGCTCTGGATGAGTTGACTGATCTCTCGAGTACGTCACAACTGCTCATGTGCATGCGTAATGTCAATTTGGACTTTTGGATACACGGAAGAGTTGGCATCCGTTTGCAACATGCATGGAACAACAACTGGAAAAGATGTTTTCATGGAATGGCAAAATCATTTGCACATTATACCCTTCAGTGGAATCAGCTTCGATGTGTTACAGTTGATAGGGGGAAAACGTGGCTGGAATGAGGAAAGGTCTGGTGGGAATTTTATGAAAATTTGCAAATTCCAGCCGCTCTGTTCATATATCAGCAAGTATCTGTGGGAAATACTTAGATGTTTCGTGTGTATTGAAACCAGTCGTTTCTGCTGGAACTGTACTCGGGGACATGCACTCAATCACCATCAGTTCCAGGCTTTTCTTGAAGACATTGATTCTGAAATCTGTGACTTGCCTTATCACACAGCAATGAGGTTGCTCAGCTGCGCTAAAATCCTGTTTCCTTATTACAAGCTCCGAAAAAAAAAAGATTTTTCTCTCACTAAAAAATTAAGCTGATCCACAGCTCTCAGATCCTACCTGGTTGTCAGATCCTACCTGGTTGTCAGATCCTGCCTGGCTGTCAGATCCTACCTGGCTGTCAGATCCTACCTAGCTGTCAGATCCTACCTGGCTGTCAGATGCTACCTGGCTGTCAGATGCTACCTGACTGTCAGATCCTACCTGGCTGTCAGATCCTACCTGACTGTCAGATCCTACCTGGCTTTCAGATCCTACCTAGCTATTAGATCCTACCTGACTGTCAGATCCTACCTGGCTGTCAGATCCTTCTTGAAACTTCAGGGAAAGGATAATCACATCTGTCATCTCAACAGAATCATCAAAGGATTTTGAAGAAAGCTGTCTTTGTTTGAAGCACGACTGGAACGATAAAGATTTTCTCATTTTCACTGTTTCAACGAGTTTTTTTTTTGTTTTTTTTTTGTTACAATCGACGAGGATGTTAACCTCGATTATACAAGGAAAAAAAACTATTAGTGACTTGAAGAAGCATTTATTGGAGAAATGTTCATAACTTGACAGAACTGAGAGTGACATTCTTCTGTTCTAGAATCCGTTTAATTGTAACCTCGATGATGTGTCAGTTGAAATACAGTTGGAGCTCATTTACTTGCCAGAAAATGACTTGATGAAAGAGAAGCACAGAGAAGTAAAACGTGTTGAATTTTACTGTTGCTTACCTGATGTTGAGTCCGAAACTGAAGAAATTTGCCGCTGGTATGGCATTAGTGTTGGGAACAACTTATGTCTGTGAGCAAAAATTTTAAAAAATTAAGTACATGAAGTCAACACATCAGACGAGAGTGACTGATGAACAGTTGAAAGCAATTCTCTTGATTGGATGCAGCAATTTTAAACCAAACATCGATGATATCATGAAAGCCACACGTTAGTTTAACAGATCTCACTAACTTTTTTTGTTGCTTAGTTTATGAGATTCGGATATGTGCACACTAGGTCTGATGTAACTATCTTTCAGCTAACGCTGCCTTCTTTGATAACTTTTAAAGTAAATAAATATATTGGTTGGCATTGTTTTTTGTACACTGCACGAAACTTATCCATGATTAACAGGAAATACTCAACTTAATTTGTCGTCTTTTTTCCCAAGACCTTTCTTTTGGCTTGAAAGTATTGTACAGATTGATTATACGGCCAGCGCTCGTCCTTTTGTCCATTATCCAGCCCGCGGTGAAAAAAGTTTAGTGACACTTGATTTTGATTAAAGATATTTCAGTAGTTTCTCAATCACGTGACGTCGCGAGCTATTCTCTGCGTCACGAATGTAATACCGTCACGCAACATGCAACAAAAAGTGTCATGTCTTGGAGTGTATTGTTGATTATGCTATTGTTGATCATATAGTGTAATGTTGATATGCTATTGTTGATCATGGAGTGTAATGTTGATATGCTATTGTTGATCATGGAGTGTATTGTTGATATGCTATTGTTGATCATGGAGTGTAATGTTGATATGCTATTGTTGATCATATAGTGTAATGTTGATATGCTATTGTTGATCATGGAGTGTATTGTTAATATGATATTGTTGATCATGGAGTGTATTGTTAATATGATATTGTTGATCATGGAGTGTATTGTTGATATGCTATTGTTGATCATGGAGTGTATTGTTGTTATTTCTATGACTCATATCATGCAAAGTGTTGTTGATACGTTACTATTTGTATCCGCGTATAGCACTTGCAGGTGATAATCAATAAAGAATATGAAACTAAGACTTTGAGATCAAATGTGATTGGGTCGTTTACTTTGATTGGCTATAACTGAACTTTATTTTTTTGATTGGAATGGAGTGTTCGCTAATTTCTATTTATCAATTTATCGGTAATGAGAACAGCATCGTTTGAAAGAATTCTATAGAATTTATTAGTTTTTTTATGATATCCTGCAGTTTAGTGTTATCTTTATATCTATTAAATGATAGCTCTGTATTTATAGTTGCTACCGGAGTCTTCAAATGTTTTCCTCGACTCCATACCCGTGCACTTAGTAGTACTAAAAGTCTGTCTGTGACCAAGCCGGTGCTATCCATTGAATCCCTTCAAACGCCCTCTGATCCGGAAGTAGTCCAGCACGTGATCTGTCATTCACGGGCCCACGAGGCTGGGGAAAATCTAGTACGAAAGTCTGCCGAGTGTTTCTAGTGCATCTAAAAATGTCGGTGACAAGGCTCGCGATACGTCTTGGGAATCTGTAGGAAGGTGAGGCACACACAAAAAAAAAACAAAAACAAAATCACCGGACGCCAAGAAAAGGTTGACAGGAGAGAGAAAAATCGATCTTGGGACAAAAGACATCAATATAAGCCGAGATAACGCGCCTCCAGTTCGAATGGCTTTATTGAAGGTTAATCTGCGTCGTGTTTCGGGCTGGCCAGGTGACCAGCGGGGATCAACTGCAACGCTAACGTGATAACAAAAGGAAAGGGGTTGTGTTGACACGGCAGACGACCAGACGTTGTAACTGTGAGGGTCAGACGATCATGGTGGAGCCTGGTGGCTGCTGCTTCTTCTTGTTGTTGTTGCTTTTCTGGCCGTTGTTTGACGCGGTTAAGGAAGATAACACATTCTTTAATCCCGATTTAATAACGTGGTGTGGGGGTTCAAACTGGAACTAAGCTGATAGCATCTGGATTGGACTAGTGACCGGAGTTCAGAGCTAACGTTTATCTGGGGCACTGTTCTTAATTATTATTGCAAATGTGTTAAATACATAAAAATGATGTTGTGTCTTGAGTCGGTCTGTTCCTTAACAGGAGAGTTTTGTTGTTGTTGATGTTGAATTTAATTTTTATATCAAATCTGTCTCGGTACTAGGCTGTAAATAGCGCTTTGTTTTACAGAAGTATCCCATTCATTCGGTCTGCTTCACCATCATTTAACAATGATGGAAAATTAACTAGAGTATGCAATGAGTATTTTAATGAAAGAAGCGATGTTTAAATGTGACCAAAAATTTCCACCTGCGGTGTATTTGGTTTAGATTTTTTTAAATAACTGCATGACACAAGAGGTATGAAAACCGCAAACGCCACTCGACCAGACGACAGCATCTGGTTGATCAAGGACGAAACGAGAGAATTATTCGTCGTCGTCATGTGTTGCGTCATCAACGCGTCTGTCGCCTTTCTCGGAATCGTCGGCAACGTCATCAACGTGGCAGTGTTTCTAAAACTTGGATTCAGGGAGACCACCAACATCACCTTGCTCGGCCTGGCCATATCCGACCTGGGGTGCCTCCTGTCTGCCGAGTGGGTCTACTTGTGCTTCAACCCGCTTTTTAACAATGCGGATATTCCGTTCGTCCCTTTCGAGATCGAGAATATCACCGGCGGCTGGCCGCACATTTGCTTCGGCCGCATTACGGGGGTCATCACCGCCTACGTCACCCTCGAACGCTGCCTGTGCATCACCCTGCCGCTGACGGTGAAGGCCGTCCTGACCCCTCGCAGGACCTCGCTGGTCATCGTCTGCATCTTTCTTGTGATGTTCATCAGCGTGAGCCCCGTGTTTACCGTCAACCTCCTCGAGTGGAAATTCTACCCGTCATCCAACCGCACACGAGTGGGTATCGTCTACACCAATAATCGATCGCAGGTGGAACGCATCGTGTTCGCTATCACCGATTTCTACTCGTACATCGCGTTCATCGTGGTCTCCGTCTTCACGGTCCTCCTGGTATCGAGACTGAAAGGCACTCGTCGCTGGAGACGAGATTCAACTACCAACCAGACGTCGGCCGCAAGAAAAGACGGCAAGGTCATCAAAATGGTGCTCACCGTTTCCGTTGTGTTCATCGCATGCTTCTTCCCCATTACCGTTGTCTTCATCGGCACCATGGTGTTCCCGCAGTTCGGAACCGGCGGCCGCTACGCCAACCTATTCTATGTTGTAGCTTCGTGCGCCTACTTCCTAGAGATCATCAACTCCAGCGTCAACTTCCTCATCTACCTGAAAATGAGCTCGAGATTCAGGCACACGTACAGGAAACTGTTGCACTGCAGGAGGAAGATTCGGGGTACGCATGGTAACATTTGGTTTGATGTTAATGAAATCTGCTTTTCTTCTGTCCCCACTTCCAACACCCCTCACCCCCCCAAACCAAAAAAAAATTACATGTGTTTTTCTTTTGAGGTCTGTTACGAGCGTAGAGTCTAACGAGTAGCTACTAGGTGTACGTGTTAACCGGTCTAAACTGATTTCAATGAAGTAGTTTACAAATTACCACAATAACACTGATAAATAAAGGGTTAAATCCCACTCTCCCACCCCCACACAGGTGATGACAAGAAATCTGTAAGAGCAGAGGAAGCTTGTTTCATAATAAGTTTGTAGATCACACGGAATTGTGGGGCCAATGCCATCCATCACCAATCATTTAAGAGTCTTATAAACACGACTCTGTGTCATGACCTGTAGGTACTGCATACATATTATTTAAATCAACAAGCAGGCCCCGTGCACTGTTGATATTTCCCAACCCCCGGCCCCAAACTCCCTTGACCCCCCCCCCCCCCCCCCGCTAACCCTGCTTGCATAATTTGCAACTGTTTACGAAAAAAATTGAAGTAAACACTTCATAGCGAATCCTATCCTCTAGGGCAGCGGTCTTTAACACTCGTGCCGTCTACGTTTCCCCGTCGTGTAACAAGATTTTGATCTAGATCTCCTGAAAAAGATTATCTCTAAGTAAAAAAATGTATAGGTGTGCACGTCCTTACCTATCAAAAATTAAGATGGAACTTTATGTCATAACCTTTCAGTGCTAATATCATGGTAATACGTTCTGTGGTTTGTGTCAGGTGAATTTAAAGAACATAATTTTGTTGCGATTCGTCGAGGATTTTAAAGCAAAAGAATTTGAATGATTAGTTTTAATGTGTCTGGAGTTTTACTTTAAAGGTCTTGATAACCACTGATCTAGAGCACATTGGTAACCACTGATCTAGGGCACATTGGTAACCACTGATCTAGAGCGCATTGGTAACCACTGATCTAGAGCGCATTGGTAACCACTGATCTAGGGCACATCGATAACCACTGATCTAGGGTACATTGATAGCCACTGATCTGGGTTACATTGATAACCACTAATCTAGGGCACTTCCACGAAAACGTTTATTACCATAAATGATTATCTTCTCGTGGGTAAGGCCACTGCTGATTATGTCCTTAGGACTCATTGTCTATGTTTACCAAGTTTCCGGCTCCAACGTGGCGGGCTGTTATTATGGCATCTGTTATTATGGCATCTGTTATTATGGCATCTGTTATTATGGCATCTGTTATTATGGCATCTGTTATTATGGCATCTGTTATTATGGCATCTGTTATTATGGCATCTGTTATTATGGCATCTGTTATTATGGCATCTGTTATTATGGCATCTGTTATTATGGCATCTGTTATTATGGCATCTGTTATTAAATCAATTTACTCTTCGTCACTAAAACAAGATGTTCCCTGACGACAGTTCTAGTTCTTTTTTATACCAAGGCGTTTCTTCTTCTTCTGTGGACCCTGTCCTAGTGCCACCCAATAATTGACACTGACACAAGCCATATTTTCTTTGACTAATGTGACAGAGGGTGTGTATGTGTGTGTGTTTTCCTCTTTCCATTTTGAAATTTACCAGCACGATCCCGCTAAAGAAATTAGTTTTTTTTTCCTTCTCTGTATTTCCTAACTGAATTCCCTTAAGCACCACCTGTCTTGTTTTGTCTGCTGATTGATAATATCTCTCAGACAGTTGACAGGCGTGGGGGCGAAGGAGGAGGGGGTACTGTCATGAACGGGGAGGAAGAGGGTTTGGGATGACAGAGAAAATTACAGTGGTACTTCTCCCGCCGAACTCTAGACTGCCATATTACGTGAGAGTTTGTTATCGTCTTAATGAGGGCTCAGAAATCCTAGGTGATCAGCCATTGTTGAGGAAAATGTCGTACAGTTTTTATCCAACGCTTTCTAAAAGGAGATCATTTTTTTCGCAATTACATTGACTTTTGAGCAATAATTCTGTATTATATTTCTTGTATTTTTGTTCACAATATGAAAATATGTTGACAGTGTGTTTGGTGGGTTTGGGTTGAAAATTATTACGTTATGAAATCTATTTGAAGAGTTTTTTTTGTTTTTTTTAAATAATTTATTTTTTTAATTACTAAATATGTTTGTTTTTTTTTACATCCATATAAATTTCCATTTTCACCTCAAACCCGGGAATAGTCTGGACTTGAAGTCAATATTTTGTTTCCTAATATTCAAGCTTGCGTTTTACTTTCATCTGTAGCATTGCTGATGTAAGGTTAGAAAGTCCTGGACGAGAGAGAGAGTAGTAGAGTTTAAATGAGTATGAAAGAAAGTATAAGAGACAGAGAAGAAGAAGAAGAAGAAAAGACAGGGGGGGAGGGAGGTTTAGTTTCCAGTTATGTTATATATATTTTTAATGTGTCGGTAGAAGTGTCTGAAAGTCTCTTCACGTGATCATGTGTGTCGGTAGAAGTGTCTAAAAGTCTCTTCAAACCATATGTGTCGGTAGAAGTGTCTGAGAGTCTCTTCAAATCATATGTGTCGGTAAAAGTGTCTGAAAGTCTCTTTACATCATGTGTGTCAGTAGAAGTTTCTGAAAGTCTCTTCACATCACGTGTGTCAGTAGAAGTGTCTGAAAGTCTCTTCACATCATGTGTGTCAGTAGAAGTGTCTGAGAGTCTCTTCACATCATGTGGGTCAGTAGACGTGTCTGAAAGTCTCTTCACATCATGTGTGTCGGTAAAAGTGTATGAAATTCTCTTCACATCATGTGTGTCGGTAGAAAGTGTCTGAAATTCTCTTCACATCATTTGTGTCAGTAAAAATTTTCTTCAAATCACGAATTGTTCATTTTTATCAAGAAACCTTCACCGACTTCCAAGAAATGTGAATCTCGTGCTAAATACAGGTTTTAAAAACACATTTTAAAGAATCGTGGGCTTCAAGTGGGAGATTCTTTGAGATCTGGTGAAATTTTCAATGGATTGCATCTCAATCTAAGGCTGCGTTTATACTTGTTCCGTATTTCGCTCGTCTATGTCAGTCGGGGATGCCGGTGAGATACGGAGCCAGTGTAAACGCAGCCTATTTAAACATAAAACTCGTCAAAGTGCAATGTTTGTTTTTAACTTTCGCACTCAATTTAAAGCCCAATTGGTCAGTTTGTCAGGTTCTACGACTTCAGTTTAATGTGTCTTTTGAGATATTTTAGGCTTAAAAATAATGGGTTGTTGGTTTTTTTTCAAAAGAAAACAATTTTGAATCATTTAACAATGAACAAGCCATTTCCAATTTAAACTCTACCTAAGTAATATTCAACACTTACTTTTTTTTGTACAAAATGCCTAAGCTAATAACATTCATAGCAATCGTGACTATCTAACTCATCATGGCCATCTTTACCCATCATGAGCATACTACCCATTATGGCCATAGTACCTATCATGGCCACCTTACCATTCATGGGCATCTAACCCATCATGGCTATCTTTACCCATCATGGCCATGTAACCCATCATGGCTATCTTTACCCATCATAGCCATCTTTACCCATCATAGCCATCTCTACCCTTCATGGCCATGTAATCCATCATGGCTATCTTTACTCATCATAGCCATCTTTACCCATCATAGCCATCTTTAACCATCATAGCCATCTCTACCCTTCATGGCCATGTAATCCATCATAGCTATCTTTACTCATCATAGCCATCTTTACCCATCATAGCCATCTCTACCCATCATGGCCATCTCTACCCATCATGGCCATGTAACCCATCATGGCTATCTTTACTCATCATAGCCATCTTTAATAATAATAATAATAATAAGTGGTCTTATATAGCGCGGTACCCCGGCCTAGGGCTGGGCTCACCGCGCTGTACATATATAGCAAAGAGGCATAATCATAATATTAAAATAAAATACATAAATGAAATAAAAACAACATATAAGCAAAACAACACCATAGGTATATTCATCCACCCACACCAGACATTTTTACAAGGAAACCCATGTACGTTTATCGGTTTATAGGAGGAGAATCAGTCAGAGTAGTATAGTTTAAATAGATGTGTTTTGAGTGCTGTTTTGAAGGCCTGTGTGGTTGTTATATTGCGGATGTGTAGTGGCAAAGAATTCCATTGTTTGGGGGCGCAGAAAGAGAAAGATCGTTCACCATATAATTTAGTGCGTGTCTTGGGAACGGACAGAATACGCGAGTCTGCGGAGGAGCGAAGTTGTCGAAGGGGTGAATAGACAGAAAGAAGTTCAGTTAGATAGGAAGGGCAGGAATCCGAGAAAAAGTTGTGACAGAGAAGAGACAGCTTGTAGTCAATGCGTGCCTGTATAGGGAGCCAATGTAGTGAGTGGAGTAGTGGAGTGACGTGATCACGTTTTTTTGCCTTAAGAACAAGCCTAGCAGCAGAGTTTTGAACTTTCTGCAGTTTTTCTATAAAATGTTTCGGTGAACCTGACAGAAGTGAGTTGCAATAGTCAAGACGAGAGAGAACAAGAGCACAGACTAGAGTTTTTGTTGCGCTAACTGTCAGGTAGTGGCGGATGGAGCTGATCTGACGGATGGCGGTGTATGCCGAACGACAAATGTGAGAGATATGTTTATCGAGAGACATGTTGTTAGAAAGAATATAACCAAGATTCCTAGCAGAGGGTGTAAACTGTATGTCGGAGTTACCTACTTGAAATGAGGTGGGAAGAGTTGAGGTAGAGGATGATTTGTGATTGTAAATGAGGAGTGCTTCTGTTTTGTCATCATTAAGCTTCAACTTGCTGAGTGTCATCCAAGACTTGACATCATCAATGCACCCCCGCAAAGTCTGGACAGCGGAATCGACAAGAGATGGATGGGTATGCATGTATAGCTGTGTATCATCTGCAAATGACTGGTTCTCAACAGCATGCCTCCCGAGCAAGAGGAGTAGTGGTCTGGTATACATTATGAATAGAACCGGACCCAAAACGGACCCCTGTGG